ATCCAATCCCTAGAACTGTATAAACTGGGTGTGGTGATGTGCTTGTGATTCCATCCTGTATCCAATCCCTAGAACTGTATAAACTGGGTGTGGTGGTGTGCTTGTAATCCCCACATTTGGGAGTTGGAGGCAGAAGGATCAAGAGTTCAAGGTCATCTTTCTCTCCATAGTGAGTTTAAGGCCAGCCAAAGAAACATGAACTCCTGTCTCAGGAAAAAAAAAAAACAAGATTGGACTCAAAGAAGGATTTTTATAGGTAGGATGTGCCAATGAGGCAACAGTTTTAGCAAAGCTAGAGATGAACAAGTACACATGGACTAAGAGAAGAGAATGGCTTCAGATGACCGGCATGGAAAGGTGAGTCAACTCTTGCTCATGGACATCTGAGTTCCTTCTAAGTTGTGACCATGATAAAACAGTGCTTCACTGGATATCTTTGCATACATGTCTAATGCACACGTCTTCAGTTTTATTTATACAAATTTCTAAAGGTGAAACAACAGAGATGAAACATATCTACAAAGGAAGGAGAATGGAGTCAAGGAAGAGTGAAGAAGAACAAGCAGAGGTAAGAGGCAGGGGCAGAGAGCTGGAAGGGTTGAGAGGGCAGGAACAAGGTGGTAAGGGTATCGGCAGTAAAAGTGAGGTTGTGTAAGGAAGAGGGTAATCAAAATTGGGGTACACAGGAAGAGATGATAGTGATCCTTGGGGTAAGATAACAGTTGCGAAGAAGGAAGGAGAGACGGAGGCTGTACCTGAGGTTCAGGGGAAAGAGTGAGAGACATGTGAGAGAAGGGTAAAGAAGAGCAGGAAGATAAGCTCAGGTAGAGGCGGAAGGGGTAAGATGGAGGCAAGAGCGGGATGCTGAGAGAAGGGTTAAGGAAGGGAGTAACAAAAGATAGGAGCAAGAGAGTGTGGGGATGGATAAACAAGGACAAAAATAGACGAGAAAGATACATGTTAAAAGAAGGATCGGCGATTAGATGGAGGAAAGGGGAGGCAGAAAAGAAAGTACAATCTCAAGAGCCAAGGGCCCCAGCACCTAAGAAGCCCCTCCATCTTCTGGGCCCCTAAGTGCCAAACTGTGTTTTGGACCATAGTCACAATCCCACTTTAGGAGCCTGGACCAAGAGCCCACCTCACTCTCTCCCCGAACTGTGTAATCAGCCCCCTGCTCTGTGCTCATCAATGGAGCCGGGACTCAGAGGGCCCCGTGAGAGTCTTCCAGTCCAGTGTTCCTGCTTCTAGACGAGGAGTTCCCAGTGACAGCCCTGCTCTCCTCACAGGCATTTGCAATTAGCTCAGTGACAAACTAGAGTCTGGGCAGTCCCTTCATCTGAGAGGTGGGGGAGGGAGAAGGGGTGGCCTGACAGTGGGAGTATGGCCTTTCTCCTTAATTAGCCGACCCCCCTTCAGTCCTCACACCCCCAGTTGGAGTCACCATGGCAACAAGTGGGTGAGCAGATTGCCTGGGGAGGACACCAGGCCTGTGGGTGGTGAGGCAGGAAGAGGCAAGAAGCTAATGAGGGGAATAGAAGTAGAAGAGCCACGGTGAGCTCAGAGGTAATCTAATTCCTAAGTCCCACAGCTGGCCAGCTGAGCCACTGCGGGCCCATATGCTTTAAGGTGGCCTGGGGCCTGTCTCAGGTGATAATAGTCTGACTCACAGTGCTTCCACCTGGCAATAAGCCCACCTTAGACTCTGAAACCCTGTTCCCAGGATCATCCTGTATACCTTATCCTGTCTTATCAGTGTGATGCCTGTGTCAGGTGGCTGCCTGGTTAGGGCTGTGATAAGAGGTCCGGGCACTCCTCTAGAAGAATAGGAAAGGGCTAGAAAGGCTTGCTGAGGTGAGCATTGTAGGAAGAGGAGGAAGTGTCTTAGAACCAGGTAAAGAAAGCTGGGGGACCTGTGGAGATCTTTTGCTCTCCAATTCTTAACTCTGGCTGTATATCAGGACCACTATGGAGTTTAAATATATATACACCAGTTCACATAGCATTCAGACCAACAAAGTCAGAATCCCTGCAGGCAGAACCCCACACATCTGTAATTGGAAAATGACCTCAGGCAATTTTCATCATGCAGCCAGGGTTGAGAATGTCAGTTTTTACCATTACATAGATAGAGAAACTGAGACCTAAAAAGGGGAGAAGAACTTAAATGTAACCACATAAAATAACGGTAGAGAAAGGAACTAGAAACCAGGTTTCATAATTCCGACTTCAGGAATCTTCCTACTGAAAACTCACATCAGCAACTGGACCCTTAACGAGGGTCCAGACACCAGGGGCTGGATATTCAGACATCAGGAACAGAACTGAGAACCAGGCCTATTCGACAGTTTCAGAATCTTCAAACCCAAGCGCTGTCAGAAAAGCCGTCTCCTGTTCTCTGAGCGGAACCATCCTATACCCTCGAGGGAGCAGGGATGGGGATAAGGAGGTGGTTAGGAAACCCAGAACTACCAGTGCTCCCCTTTCCCCACCTCAGTAGGGCCACCACAGGTCTCAATCAAGTTCTGGCTGCTACAGCCCAGTTGCTATGGGAACTGGGAGGGGAAGGAAACAGGGAGTAACTAGAGGGAACACCAATTAACCCAAAAAGGAAGCTAGGAAGGCTGTCTCACCCCTCCTCCTAGCTGGGCAACAGAACCACCCCTCAAACGGGAGGGGTGAGACAAAGGGGATCCCCACCCCTCCTGGGCTCTGCAATTGTCAATTTACAGAGGACTAGAATGACCCAGCTAGCCTTATCCTCAGCTTATTGGCTTGTAGCCCTGGCCTGGGCATTTCAGATCTACATTCCTCTAGAAAGAAATGTCTAACTTCATAGAGGACTGTGTAAATGCACAGTCACACCCCAAAGTCAAGACTCAAGGCCAG